TGCTCTGCATAACCGTAATTTCTGAAAAAAAGAATTTTGATAGAGAAAGTTCTCACTGCATGCAGGGTCCAGTTGACACAGCGCTACATTTCTAAAAGAAATGTGGACATCTTAGTCGAAGATAACAGCTGTTTTTTCGCGCAGCATTTGCAACAACATTTTTTAGTGCCCAGCGAACACAATAAACATGTGACCATATTCCGCCATCTTGCAGTTTTTCCCTTAATTTTCGCTTACTTCCACTCTTCACTGCGCTAGTTTCAAAGCTACCTAGTAGAAGCAACCGAATTGCTTATTCAGGGCTGGATTATTCCCAGTTGATATCGGATGGTCCTTACAAAGAGATTCATCGATTGAAAATGATTGAATGGGGCGAAAGTGTTCGAAATGCTGAACCGGACTTTTTTTGCAGGTTAATCTTCCTAATTGGTTATCTAAAACTAAATTTCCTCTCAATTTCTAGGGCTACGATTCCATCGACATGTGAAGATGACATAGTGATTATATCTGATTGTAGAAGACCAACAGATATTAAATACTTCCAAAACCACTATCAAGCACTGACTGTTCGAATCGTCGCAAATAGAATGGAACGGGAAAAGCGTGGATTCGTGTTTGTGGAAGGGATTGATGATATGCCATCAGAGTGTGCACTAGATGAGTATGACCACGATATCACTATAGTAAATGATAGTTCCAGCGATTTATCGCAAGAAATCGATAATGTGGTTAGACGTATCAGAGGCATGTTATAGCAGAAATTGTTGATTTGCCTTGTTTATGGGCTCCAGTTTTTCAAATGTTATCTTAGTAGATATTTAAATTAAAAGCTTCTAAAATACTTGGTTGTGAATCTAGTTAGTCTCTTACTGTTTAGTTTTCAGTATAATTAGTTTTTTTACTGATCTGGAATGTCTGTGATTCATGTACGATCTATCGCTGTATGAATACCTGGCTGAACTTTGATTACAGCGCTGCCTACGCTCATGAAATATCACTAACTGCAGCATGTATTCTCATGTGCTACAACTCATAGGCTTCAGA